CGCCACACGCTGTCCTCCAGGGGTAAAGGTGTCAACCCACTGATCCTGGATGACAGCGTTGCTCACCAGGTTCGTCGAGAACGAGGGGAGGTGGAAACCCGACAACGAGCCAGACGGAACCGCCGGACACGGGAGCACAGTGGTGGACCGTGCCAGGACTGGGCCCCCCGAGGGGTCAGCCAAGGAGACTGGGACCGGTGCAGGAAGCGGTGTGAGCTCAGTACTGTCACGAAAGAAACAACGAGAAGCACCTGAGTCAAGGGTGAAGGTGTGACAGGCCTCAGCCGGTGCAGTACCTGAGAGAGCAGTCTCTGTGGGTGCTGTACCTGAGAGAGCAGACTCACAAGCAGCAGGGACAGTACCGGAGGGAGCAGCCACAGAGGGGACCGTACCAGAGAGAGCAGACTCACTAGTACCTAGGGCAGCGGGCTCTATACCTGGGTCAGGCGGCACACACAAGTAACAGTCTCCCTCGGCACTAACAGTCAATGCATACATGGCAGCAATAATAGCATCATAGTCAAGAGCAAAGATATCAACACCAGCCCTCATCAGCTCCGCCCAGCGGGGGCGCTCAACATCCTCGCCGATCTCCTCACGCCAAGCGTCGTCAAGGCGGGAGAAGCAGCGGTACGGGGTGTGGAACCTCCCACACGTCTGTCCCTTGCGGTCACCTGTGCGAATGACATAGGAACAGCGGCCACTGCCCCCAGACGTCCCACGCTGAGCAAGCCACTCACGAAGCTGCTGGGTCGTCTGGGGACGCTGCTGCTGGTGGGAGCTCTGGCCCGAGCCAGTGCCTCCACTCCGACCTCCGCCGCCACCACTACCTCCGCTCCGACCGCCACCGCCGCCACCGCCACCGCCGCCACCGCCGCCACCGCCACCGCCGCCACCGCCGCCGCCGCCACCACCGCCACCGCTCCCTCCGCCGCCCCCGCCTCCGCTGCCGACCCCACTCCCACCAGCACTCCCGCCACCGCTCCCTCCAGCACCGCCTCCCCCCCCACCTCCCCCACCTCCTCCCCCCCCAGCGCCACCCCCGCCACCCTTGCCCCCCTTGCCCTTGCCGGTGCGGCGCCTCCCACCAGGAGCAGAAGCAGCGCCAGCAGACTCAGCACCAAGGAAGTCAACAGCAGCAGCAGTAGCGTAGGAGGGAGCGAGGGGAGAGGGAGAACACCCCTCAAAGATGGGGGTGCGAGGAGTGCCACGAGCAGCACCTACAGCTACAATGCTCTTCTTGGCTGCAAGCAGCTTCTCCTCTAGGAGGGGGACAGTGAGCTCAGTGGGACAGCGAGCAAGGAAATAGTCGCGCACTGAGCTGAGGGTGTCAGGGAGACGGGTGACTATGAAGTGGAGTGTCCAGTACAGTGGAGGGGGGTTCTTAGCGCAGAACTCGGTGGGAAGGGCGGCACGCAGGCGAGCGTCACTAGTGCGAAGGTGGGTGATAAGATCGGCGACTGTAGCAAAGGTGGACAGCTCAGGGAACAGGTAAGGCAGCATAAGGCGGCTAAGCTCGGCTGTGGCAGGTGAGGAATAGCGGGCAACGACAGCGTCGTACAGGGCCTTAGCGGTTTTGCAGTCGCCAAAATGCTCGAGCTCAGCTAACGGCAGGTGACTGCGAATGGCTAGGCGAGCAGCTGCGTCACGAGTCTGCCAGTGGGAACGAACACTAAGCTCTGCTGTGGCAGGAGGGGCAGGCGCAGCACCAGACGCGTAATCATAGAGCGACACATGCTCCTTGCTATCGCTCAGGAGGAACAGCTGCAGGTCATCTAGCCAAGTGGTGAACTGCACAGGGCGGCCCTCAGCATCGAACGAAAGCACGCGGATGGAAGCCATAGCGACAGTACGGCAGAGCAACGCAAGCTACCACAGCAGGGGCGGGCAATTGCGCACGGGCAGGGAGCAGCAGGCGGCGCTGCAAGCGGGCAGCGCGACAGGCGGGCGACTCCGCAAGCGGGCAGCGCGGCGGGCGGGCGGGCAGCGCGACGGACGGCGCGGGGCACAGCGGGCGGCGCGCGGGGCTGCAAGGCAGCTCGACGGGCTGCGCGGGGCAGAGCAGGCGGCACGCGGGGCTGCAGAGCCGAGCGACGAGCAGCGCAGGGCAGGGCGGGCGGGTCGCGGGGCTGCGCAGCAGATCGACGGGCGGCTCGGGGCACAGCGGGCGGTGCGCGGGGCTGCGAGGCAGCGCGACGGGCAGCGCGGGGCAGAGCGGGCGGCGCGACGGGCAAAGCAGGGGAGGGGGAGGCGCGCGGGGCTCTGGGCTGGCAGGACGCCGGTCGGCAGGGCGCACGAGGGCGCTACAAGGGCGCTACGAGGGCGCTAGGGCGCAACGAGGGCGCTACGAGGGTAGGGCGCGGGGGTAACGCGGTAACCGCAGCGTGCGGTGGTGGGCCCTAAAAAAAAACGATCGGATGGTCCTAGGGACCACCTGCTCTGAATACCATATCAGAATACTAGCGTGAGAATGGTGCATTGAAAGAAACAGTTGGGTACAAGTAGCTAACCCTAGTTGGGGTTGTACCCTATATTGGCTACCCCACTACAGCCTACCAACATATAACACATCACAATTTAACATACTTCGCTTCCCTGGTAAGGTGAAATTCGTTTATGTGTTTCGACTGATTTTCAGATAATATTCGACATGCGCTTATAATAAATCATAAATTTTTAGGGGGTGCGCTTATAATCGAGGACCGGATATAAGCGCCCTCATCCCTTTATAAGCGCCGGCGCTTATCCGAGGCCTGCGCTTCTATCCGGGGTATGACGGTATACGGTACTAAGGATTGCAAATGCGATTGTATTTAATTCACTCTAAGAGAAGCTAGCACATAAGGGCGTGTGTGGTCCCTCCAAAAGTTCAAAAAAAAGTGCGAACTTTGTGTGGTTACCCTTTTCGCCAAATTCGCCAACTAATCTTAGCGAAATGACCAAGCCATCGGGATTTCAAAGATTCGAACTGCAAATCTGAACTTGACTCGAGATTTAGTAGAGAACGTGCGCGCGCACTTTCAGGCAAGCGTGTCTGATTTTCAGCACGTGCGAGGAGCTGGCGAAACGGGTGGCAGCGTCGCGAAGCTGAAAATTTCAAAACGAAATCAGCCCACGATTAGCGCACTCGTCGGTTGCCACGTGGCAACATCCTTGGCATGTAGGTGAGTACCAGGTAACCTACTTTAAAGTTGATTTTACCGAGTAACCTATTTTGTTGACGCGCGGCTCGGCGCGCTATTTAGAAGGTCGAATGTCGGGGTTCGACCTTGCATGTTTGTGTGTTTTGTGCTGTGTTGTAGTCCAGATGTTCGAACCCCAAAACAAGGAAAGTCGAGTTTGATTCGACTTAAGTTCGTTTCGCACAACTCGCCCTAAAAACGTAAACTTTTGCGATTTTCAAGGACCACATATGCCCTAAGGAGGGTTGATGCAACTCGCAAAGCGCCTAGACACCACAGTACTGGCATCACCGAGACTTGACCTATATTACCGTAGAAGCATATGGTTGAGTCAGCCTTGCACGAGTCAAAGGTTTGTGTCAGAATCCTAGCCACTAACCACTGGGATAAAAGAGCTTGTTTGTGTAGCGGGTGAGTGCGCCCATAACCCCCCAGGCCAACGTGCTTGTAACCCTTCCCTAGGATCAATCGGGGATCACCAGTGGACCTCTGACACCCCCCCGCACTGGGATGCCCGAGGTGCACACACCGGGATTCGAACCCGAGATCTTCGCTCTGATACCATGTCAGAATCCCAGTCACTAACCACTGGGATAAAAGGGCTTGTTTGTGTAACGGGTGAGTGCGCCCATAACCCCCCAGGCCAACGTGCCTGTAACCCTTCCCTAGGATCAATCGGGGATCACCAGTGGACCTCTGACAGTTTGGATTGGATTGGAGAGATGCGCAAGGTAGCAACTGAAGAACGCGCAAGATAACGCGCAATCAACAACGATGAGGACGCGTCACAATTGCAACACCGGGGAGGATCGGGACCGAACGCCGAAAATGTGTGCATCGTGTATGAAATAACGGGTTTCAATCTGCATGAGTAGTGTTAGGCTGCTTCTCCCAGCCAAGTGGGACACGACCAGATTTGCAAGTGTACTGCCAGCTTCTAGCGCAGGTGCCGTGGTTCGCTGGCGCGTCGTACAATTTCGCCTGAGTTGTGACGGCGCGTACGGGCGATAATGTTTCATTGTCATGATGTCGCCCACCGACAATTTGTGAGGTCGCCCTGTTACCACATCGAAAGTGACCGACAGCACACGACTGCGGTCGATCATGGCTGACACAGGTGGCGCGATTTCGTTTCCCGCGCTGCCAATCGCAAGATCGATGTCGCATTTCGAACCTTACGATCTCATCAATCTGCAAGTTCACGATCTTCGCGTAAAGATAAGCGAAATAGGGATACATATTTGTCGCCAATTGGCGAACTTACTGTAGACTGAGAACATCGAACCTACGCGGGATCGGTGTTGCAATTGTGACGCGTCCTGAGCAGTAGCAGCTGAAGAACGTGAAAGCCCTTGGCAGCGATCCATCCACCGCCGTATATATTTTAACTCGGCGACCCCAGTGTATCAACAATCAGCCTTTTACTGTGATCAGCCCATCATGACGCTGTTTGTGAGGATGGGCATATCACAACCAGTCTCCTAGCTGGCTTACTTTGCCAGTCTGCCTATTGTGAAACACGCCATTTGCATGCCACTACACTACACTCCATACAGACATGAGCATGTTCGTGGTACAATTGCTTTCTGGCACGTCACTCCTGCACCTCACTGATCTCGCAACTGCTAACCCTGCTATTCTTCTTTTTTTTACTCGCAACCGCAGCATGAGGCACACCAACACCACCACTCAACGACAAACCCGAATCACCAACGTCAATGCTATCACCACCACCACCACCACCACCATCACCATCAATCAAACAATCCTCTTGACCGGGTTCACGCCTCTCTCTGCAAGTACTATCCACTCCTCCATTCATACTTGCCCTCTCACCCTCCTCGCCTTGTCTACTCCCCTGCCCTTGAGCAACCTTTTCACAAATGCTCCCAAATCCCAAAGCCACATCTTGTGATGCCTCAACATTCCCATTCCCCGAACCAGAAGCCGAGGTTCGGGACGCCTTACCATCCGTGTTCTCCAATCCTGAACCGGACTTTCCCTCTTTACCAGCATCACCATCTGTAAAAGCCGTCGAAGCAGCGTCGCTCGACCCGCCCTCTCTTCCGCTCCGCCCTCCCCCGCTTCTCCGCGAGGAGCTGCGCTTCCGGGAAGCTTCCGGCGCGATGTGCCAGTCAAAGGGGAGGCCGGAGGGGCGCACTCGGAAGGCCTCGGCTTCGGAGAGAAGCGAGTCGAACTGGCGGCGGCCCTTGGTGAGATAGGCGCCCCATGACAGCTGCTGATAGGCCCTGGAGGATGTACGCGGACGAAAAGGGCATAGCAGAGAAGGGGAGGAGTGAAGCCCAGTTACTGGATAATTCGGCAGCCCTTGGTGAGATAGGCTCCCCATGACAGCTGCTGGTATGCACGGAGGGGCGATAAAGAGTTGTAGCGGTGACATGGGAAGGAAGGAATAGAGGGGAAGAAAGGCATCACGTGTTTTGGGAAGAGGGTTTAGACATGTCTAAGACATGTTTTTTCCCCTTTTCCTTAGCTTTAAGCCTACTGCACGCACGCAGCTCACTGAGACATGTCTGAACCTCGCATGGGAAGGAAGGAATAGAGGGGAAGAAAGGCATCACGTGTTTTGGGAAGAAGGCCTGAGAGGGCGGTGATGGGGGATCAGAGTGCGGAGTACAAGACCAGAGGGCGGTGATAGGAAGCTGGGGCAGTGATAGGGAAGCATAGAGTGAGTCGTCATGGGAAAGAGCAGTAAGACATGCAGGGTGGTAGATCAGGCCAGGCCATGGGACAATACGCCTCCAACAAGTGGGAGGTGCACGGGGTGTACGGGCAGTACCAAATGAAGAGCAAAACAATGTAACTTTTGAGTCGACTCAAAATTCAAAACGATGGCTGAACAGAACGCACAGAACGCTGGTCTCCCTCAACCAGGTTATGGAGGTATGGAGGCATGGAAGAGATACAAGCAGTCATGCAAGCTTTTGAGACGATCCAAGAGTGTCGAGTCGAGGCATCACTCACCAGAGCACCATGGAGCAGATGACAATGGCGGTGAACGCTACTCTCATGTGGGGCTCAGCTTAGATCAGCTCGTCTCATGGCCCGTCCCATGGGAGCCTGCTGCACCCCAGCACATCCAGCTCTCACCAGAGCACCATGGAGCAGATTACAATGGCGGTGAACGCTGCTCTCATGTGGGGCTCAGCTTAGATCAGCTCGTCTCATGGCCCGTCCCATGGGAGCCTGCTGCACCCCAGCACATCCAGCTCTCACCAGAGCACCATGGAGCAGATGACAATGGCGGTGAACGCTGCTCTCATGTGGGGCTCAGCTTAGATCAGCTCGTCTCATGGCCCGTCCCATGGGAGCCTGCTGCACCCCAGCACATCCAGCTCTCACCAGAGCACCATGGAGCAGATTACAATGGCGGTGAACGCTGCTCTCATGTGGGGCTCATCTCATCTCATCTCATCTCATCTCATCTCATCTCATCTCATCTCATCTCATCTCATCTCATCTCATCTCATCTCATCTCATCTCATCTCATCTCATCTCATCTCATCTCATCTCATCTCATCTCATCTCATCTCATCTCATCTCATCTCATCTCATCTCATCTCAACTCATCTCATCTCATCTCATGGCCCGCCCCATGTGAGCCTGCTGCACCTCGGCACACTTCATGGAGCCCTCCAACACTCACCACAGCACCATGGAGCAGATGACAATGGCGGTGAACGCTGCTGGGATGAAGGTTGAGAAGTTGAACTTGATCCAGCTGGAAGCAGGGGGGAGAGGAGAACAAGTGGAAGAGTGGGAGGGTGGAGCAAATTCAGGGCAACGCGAATAACTTGGGGGGAGGTTTAGGACGAAACAGTCTTGGAGCAAGAGGCAATTCGAAAGCAAACGTTGGTGTGTAAGAAGCTATCCTTACGAAACTGGGCAAATTCTCTGACACATTTGGAATGGTGAAGCCGAAGAATGTGGTCATACAACTGGCAAGTGCAAGAGTTACTGATACACATGCAATGACCGCCATTTTCCTCCTTTTTTGAGTCGACTCAAAAATCGACTCATCGCGCGCAGGCAAGTGCAAGAGTTACTGATACACATGCAATGACCGCCATTGTCCTCCATTGTGTAGCCTATACTTGATCACCTGTTCCTTCCGTGTCCTCTATTTCACCTGTACCGTTCATTATACCCAAGGATAAAAACTGTTCGGCTAAGATGTTCTGTGAGCACAACAGTCTAGTTTCGAAGTGCGGTGACACAGCATAGGAAGAGATGAGATTCCTACTGCCGCACCGCTATATTAGTTCCAACAGCTTACCCAATAGGAATGAGGCTGAGAAGGAACGAAAAGATTCCTGTCGGATGGAGTGGAAGGGGCGGCATTAATTGGAGAACATGAAATAAAGGGGCAGCATTTAGTGATAATCACTATGTGGAAGGCATAACAATGGTCAGGATGAGGAGATTTATCGCTGGCTAAAGATGGTCAAAGTGGGTCAGCGTTAGTCAAAAGACCGTTAAAAAAAAAGGGGGTCGAATACGGGCATAAGTGGAATAGTGTGATGAAAACTAGCCACATTTTTTACTTGAAAGTGAACAGTTGTAACCCATCCATGTGAAGTAGTTGAATGCCGTGTGCATCTTGAAGGCTTTAATGGGGTTGGTTGATACATGAAACTGTTCGTGCCATGCAGCACTCAAGCATACCCTACCCATCTCGTATTTGGGCTGTGTGAGGGCAGACGTGTGACATACCCCATGTGAAGTAGTTGAATGCCTTGCGCCAGTCATCTTCACACCTTAATGTGGTTGATACATGTGTATGCCATGCCAAACACATCCCACAGACCATGTGCCGTGCCATACCAACCCATGCCATCCCACCCCATACCCATATCAGATTGCAAGAATGAACCAGAAACCGCGCAACAAAAGGAAAGAGGTAATCACTTAGAAACACTCTCATAACACAACATCGTGCAAAAACCTGGGACTCGCAATTACCGTGCATGTGACACACGAGCAGCCACCTATACACTAGTGCACCACCCACTCACCAGCCTCACCTGTACTCCCAAAGGGCTTCGAAGGTGCGCCGCCGGGGCGCAGGAGGCCTGTCTCCCAATGAGAAGGAGCGCACGAAGAGCAGGCAGCGGAGCATGAGCTGCTCCTCCAACCAAGTACCACTCATGCAGCATCCCTCCCCGAGCCTCACTCACTCACCAGGCTACAACAGCGGCACTCACCTGTACTCCCAAAAGGCTTCGAAAGTGCGCCGGGGTGCAGGGGGGCGGTCTCCAAGCGAGGAGTGAACGAAGAGCAGGCAGCGGAACATGAACTTCTCCTCTGCCTCCTCCAGAATCCACCTGTGCAGCATCCATTCCCACACCCTCACATGTACTCCCAAAACGCTTCAAACGTGCGCCGGGGAGCGGGAGGGCGGTCTCCTAGAGAGAAAGAGCGCGCGAAGAGCAGGCAGCTGAACATGAACCTCAGACAGAGGGTAACACAACACCTGTGGTACATCCATCCCTCAGCCTCACCTGTACTCCCAGAAAGCCTCGAATGTGCGTCGCGGCGCAGGAGGCCGGCCGGTCCTCGAGTGAGAGGGCGCACACAAAGAGCAGGAAGCGGAACAGGAACTCCTGGGCTTGTAGCGTCCCCCTACTAACCTCACCTATACTCCCAAAACGCTTCAAACGTGCGCCGGGGAGCGGGAGGGCAGTCTCCTAGAGAGAAAGAGCGCACGAAGAGCAGGCAGCGGGACATGAACTCCTGGGCTTGTAGCATCCGCCTACTAACCTCACCTAAACTCCCAAAAAGCCTCAAACGTGCGACGGGGCGCAGGAGGGCGGTCCCCTAGAGAGAAAGAGCGCACGAAGAGCAGGCAGCGGAACATGAACTCCTCCTCGGCCTCCTCGTCCACATAGGCCTTGCCGTTCTTCAATATGCTCCCCATGATGAGCGTGCACTGCACCATGGCCACCGTGTGTAGACACACCTGAAGTGGGCGGGGGGAGAGAGAGAAGCAGGCAGCATTATGAGTGGAACCCTCCCCTCCACGCCCCATGATGCGCGTGCACTGCACCATGGCCACCGTGTGTAGACACACCTGAAGTGGGCGGGGAGACACGGACAGGGGAGAAGCAGTGAGCAGGCAGACAAGCACACAGCAGAGTATCATCAGTGCATCCCTCCGCTCCACTCCCCATGATGAGCGTGCGCTGCACCGTGACCACCGTGTGCAGACAGACCTGGTGGGGGGCAGGGCGAGAGGGGAAGGAAGAGAGAAAAAGGAAAGATAAGCAGGCAGGCAGGCCTGGGGCAGTTTTTGAGTCGACTCAAAAGCAGGCATGGGGCAGTTTTTGAGTCGACTCAAAAGCAGGCATGGGGCAGAAAGATGAGCAGGCAGGGTATGAGTGCACCCCGGCCGTCCACTCCACTCCACTGCCCATAATGGATGGTGGTGTGGATTGGAACCAACTCGAGCCACAAAAATTGTAGTTTTTCAGTCAACAGAGAACACGAGGGGCTAAGTTGCCCATGCACGAGGGGCTAAGTTGCCCATGCCCATTGCTCAACTGATAAACCTGGACCGCACTAGTTTTGAGTCGTCTCAAAAGTCGCACTAGAACCATGCCCATGCCCATGCCCATGCCCATGCCCATGCCCATGCCCATGCCCATGCCCATTGCCCAATCATGTGAGCTTGCTTGCTTGGTGTGAGTGACAAAAAGGTGGTTGACTTTTGAGACGTCTCAAAAATCATCTTTTTACATGTGAGTGACAAAAAGGTGGTTGACTTTTGAGACGTCTCAAAAATCATCTTTTTACATGTGAGTGACAAAAAGGTGGTTGACTTTTGAGACGTCTCAAAAATCATCTTTTTACATGTGAGTGACAAAAAGGTGGTTGACTTTTGAGACGTCTCAAAAATCATCTTTTTACATGTGAGTGACAAAAAGGTGGTTGACTCACGGAGATGGCAGCGAGGATGCCGTATAGAGCCATGTTCCACTGTTAGGGGTGCGTGCGTGCGTGCGTGCGTGCGTGCGTGCGTGCGTGCGTGCGTGTGTGATTTGAGTCGCCTCACAACACATTGGTTTGGTGCGACTGGTGAACGGCGAGACACTCATGGAGATGGCAGCGAGGATGCCGTATGCAGCGACGTTCCACTGGTGTGGGTGGGCGGGTGGGGGGGTGTGCGCGTTGTGACTGCTAGATGCAACTGGTGAAAGGGGAACCACTCACGGAGATGGCAGTGAGGATGCCGTATAGAGCGACGTTCCACTGCGAGAGATGGGCGCGGGGGAAGAGGGCAGGATGAAGGGGGACTAGTGAAGGCAGGATGAAGGGGGACTAGTGAAGGCAGGATGAAGGGGGACTAGTGAAGGCAGGATGAAGGGGGACTAGTGAAGGCAGGATGAAGGGGGACTAGTGAAGGCAGGATGAAGGGGGACTAGTGAAGGCAGGATGAAGGGGGACTAGTGAAGGCAGGATGAAGGGGGACTAGTGAAGGCAGGATGAAGGGGGACTAGTGAAGGCAGGATGAAGGGGGACTAGTGAAGGCAGGATGAAGGGGGACTAGTGAAGGCAGGATGAAGGGGGACTAGTGAAGGCAGGATGAAGGGGGACTAGTGAAGGCAGGATGAAGGGGGACTAGTGAAGGCAGGATGAAGGGGGACTAGTGAAGGCAGGATGAAGGGGGACTAGTGAAGGCAGGATGAAGGGGGACTAGTGAAGGCAGGATGAAGGGGGACTAGTGAAGGCAGGATGAAGGGGGACTAGTGAAGGCAGGATGAAGGGGGACTAGTGAAGGCAGGATGAAGGGGGACTAGTGAAGGCAGGATGAAGGGGGACTAGTGAAGGCAGGATGAAGGGGGACTAGTGAAGGCAGGATGAAGGGGGACTAGTGAAGGCAGGATGAAGGGGGACTAGTGAAGGCAGGATGAAGGGGGACTAGTGAAGGCAGGATGAAGGGGGACTAGTGAAGGCAGGATGAAGGGGGACTAGTGAAGGCAGGATGAAGGGGGACTAGTGAAGGCAGGATGAAGGGGGACTAGTGAAGGCAGGATGAAGGGGGACTAGTGAAGGCAGGATGAAGGGGGACTAGTGAAGGCAGGATGAAGGGGGACTAGTGAAGGCAGGATGAAGGGAGACTAGTGAAGGCAGGATGAAGGGGGACTAGTGAAGGCAGGATGAAGGGGGACTAGTGAAGGCAGGATGAAGGGGGACTAGTGAAGGCAGGATGAAGGGGGACTAGTGAAGGCAGGATGAAGGGGGACTAGTGAAGGCAGGATGAAGGGGGACTAGTGAAGGCAGGATGAAGGGGGACTAGTGAAGGCAGGATGAAGGGGGACTAGTGAAGGCAGGATGAAGGGGGACTAGTGAAGGCAGGATGAAGGGGGACTAGTGAAGGCAGGATGAAGGGGGACTAGTGAAGGCAGGATGAAGGGGGACTAGTGAAGGCAGGATGAAGGGGGACTAGTGAAGGCAGGATGAAGGGGGACTAGTGAAGGCAGGATGAAGGGGGACTAGTGAAGGCAGGATGAAGGGGGACTAGTGAAGGCAGGATGAAGGGGGACTAGTGAAGGCAGGATGAAGGGGGACTAGTGAAGGCAGGATGAAGGGGGACTAGTGAAGGCAGGATGAAGGGGGACTAGTGAAGGCAGGATGAAGGGGGACTAGTGAAGGCAGGATGAAGGGGGACTAGTGAAGGCAGGATGAAGGGGGACTAGTGAAGGCAGGATGAAGGGGGACTAGTGAAGGCAGGATGAAGGGGGACTAGTGAAGGCAGGATGAAGGGGGACTAGTGAAGGCAGGATGAAGGGGGACTAGTGAAGGCAGGATGAAGGGGGACTAGTGAAGGCAGGATGAAGGGAGACTAGTGAAGGCAGGATGAAGGGGACTAGTGAAGGCAGGATGAAGGGAGACTAGTGAAGGCAGGATGAAGGGGGACTAGTGAAGGCAGGATGAAGGGGGACTAGTGAAGGCAGGATGAAGGGGGACTAGTGAAGGCAGGATGAAGGGGGACTAGTGAAGGCAGGATGAAGGGGGACTAGTGAAGGCAGGATGAAGGGGGACTAGTGAAGGCAGGATGAAGGGGACTAGTGAAGGCAGGATGAAGGGGGACTAGTGAAGGCAGGATGAAGGGGGACTAGTGAAGGCAGGATGAAGGGGGACTAGTGAAGGCAGGATGAAGGGGGACTAGTGAAGGCAGGATGAAGGGGGACTAGTGAAGGCAGGATGAAGGGGGACTAGTGAAGGCAGGATGAAGGGGGACTAGTGAAGGCAGGATGAAGGGGGACTAGTGAAGGCAGGATGAAGGGGACTAGTGAAGGCAGGATGAAGGGAGACTAGTGAAGGCAGGATGAAGGGGGACTAGTGAAGGCAGGATGAAGGGGGACTAGTGAAGGCAGGATGAAGGGGGACTAGTGAAGGCAGGATGAAGGGGGACTAGTGAAGGCAGGATGAAGGGGGACTAGTGAAGGCAGGATGAAGGGGGACTAGTGAAGGCAGGATGAAGGGGGACTAGTGAAGGCAGGATGAAGGGGGACTAGTGAAGGCAGGATGAAGGGGGACTAGTGAAGGCAGGATGAAGGGGGACTAGTGAAGGCAGGATGAAGGGGGACTAGTGAAGGCAGGATGAAGGGAGACTAGTGAAGGCAGGATGAAGGGAGACTAGTGAAGGCAGGATGAAGGGGACTAGTGAAGGCAGGATGAAGGGGGACTAGTGAAGGCAGGATGAAGGGGGACTAGTGAAGGCAGGATGAAGGGGGACTAGTGAAGGCAGGATGAAGGGGGACTAGTGAAGGCAGGATGAAGGGGGACTAGTGAAGGCAGGATGAAGGGGGACTAGTGAAGGCAGGATGAAGGGGGACTAGTGAAGGCAGGATGAAGGGGGACTAGTGAAGGCAGGATGAAGGGGGACTAGTGAAGGCAGGATGAAGGGGGACTAGTGAAGGCAGGATGAAGGGGGACTAGTGAAGGCAGGATGAAGGGGGACTAGTGAAGGCAGGATGAAGGGGGACTAGTGAAGGCAGGATGAAGGGGGACTAGTGAAGGCAGGATGAAGGGGGACTAGTGAAGGCAGGATGAAGGGAGACTAGTGAAGGCAGGATGAAGGGGGACTAGTGAAGGCAGGATGAAGGGGGACTAGTGAAGGCAGGATGAAGGGGGACTAGTGAAGGCAGGATGAAGGGGGACTAGTGAAGGCAGGATGAAGGGGGACTAGTGAAGGCAGGATGAAGGGGGACTAGTGAAGGCAGGATGAAGGGGGACTAGTGAAGGCAGGATGAAGGGGGACTAGTGAAGGCAGGATGAAGGGGGACTAGTGAAGGCAGGATGAAGGGGGACTAGTGAAGGCAGGATGAAGGGGGACTAGTGAAGGCAGGATGAAGGGGGACTAGTGAAGGCAGGATGAAGGGGGACTAGTGAAGGCAGGATGAAGGGGGACTAGTGAAGGCAGGATGAAGGGGGAGTAGTGAAGGCAGGATGAAGGGGGAGTAGTGAAGGCAGGATGAAGGGGGACTAGTGAAGGCAGGATGAAGGGGGACTAGTGAAGGCAGGATGAAGGGGGACTAGTGAAGGCAGGATGAAGGGGGACTAGTGAAGGCAGGATGAAGGGGGACTAGTGAAGGCAGGATGAAGGGGGACTAGTGAAGGCAGGATGAAGGGGGACTAGTGAAGGCAGGATGAAGGGGGACTAGTGAAGGCAGGATGAAGGGGGACTAGTGAAGGCAGGATGAAGGGGGACTAGTGAAGGCAGGATGAAGGGGGACTAGTGAAGGCAGGATGAAGGGGGACTAGTGAAGGCAGGATGAAGGGGGACTAGTGAAGGCAGGATGAAGGGGGACTAGTGAAGGCAGGATGAAGGGGGACTAGTGAAGGCAGGATGAAGGGGGACTAGTGAAGGCAGGATGAAGGGGGACTAGTGAAGGCAGGATGAAGGGGGACTAGTGAAGGCAGGATGAAGGGGGACTAGTGAAGGCAGGATGAAGGGGGACTAGTGAAGGCAGGATGAAGGGGGACTAGTGAAGGCAGGATGAAGGGGGACTAGTGAAGGCAGGATGAAGGGGGACTAGTGAAGGCAGGATGAAGGGGGACTAGTGAAGGCAGGATGAAGGGGGACTAGTGAAGGCAGGATGAAGGGGGACTAGTGAAGGCAGGATGAAGGGGGACTAGTGAAGGCAGGATGAAGGGGGACTAGTGAAGGCAGGATGAAGGGGGACTAGTGAAGGCAGGATGAAGGGGGACTAGTGAAGGCAGGATGAAGGGGGACTAGTGAAGGCAGGATGAAGGGGGACTAGTGAAGGCAGGATGAAGGGGGACTAGTGAAGGCAGGATGAAGGGGGACTAGTGAAGGCAGGATGAAGGGGGACTAGTGAAGGCAGGATGAAGGGGGACTAGTGAAGGCAGGATGAAGGGGGACTAGTGAAGGCAGGATGAAGGGGGACTAGTGAAGGCAGGATGAAGGGGGACTAGTGAAGGCAGGATGAAGGGGGACTAGTGAAGGCAGGATGAAGGGGGACTAGTGAAGGCAGGATGAAGGGGGACTAGTGAAGGCAGGATGAAGGGGGACTAGTGAAGGCAGGATGAAGGGGGACTAGTGAAGGCAGGATGAAGGGGGACTAGTGAAGGCAGGATGAAGGGGGACTAGTGAAGGCAGGATGAAGGGGGACTAGTGAAGGCAGGATGAAGGGGGACTAGTGAAGGCAGGATGAAGGGGGACTAGTGAAGGCAGGATGAAGGGGGACTAGTGAAGGCAGGATGAAGGGGGACTAGTGAAGGCAGGATGAAGGGGGACTAGTGAAGGCAGGATGAAGGGGGACTAGTGAAGGCAGGATGAAGGGGGACTAGTGAAGGCAGGATGAAGGGGGACTAGTGAAGGCAGGATGAAGGGGGACTAGTGAAGGCAGGATGAAGGGGGACTAGTGAAGGCAGGATGAAGGGGGACTAGTGAAGGCAGGATGAAGGGGGACTAGTGAAGGCAGGATGAAGGGGGACTAGTGAAGGCAGGATGAAGGGGGACTAGTGAAGGCAGGATGAAGGGGGACTAGTGAAGGCAGGATGAAGGGGGACTAGTGAAGGCAGGATGAAGGGGGACTAGTGAAGGCAGGATGAAGGGGGACTAGTGAAGGCAGGATGAAGGGGGACTAGTGAAGGCAGGATGAAGGGGGACTAGTGAAGGCAGGATGAAGGGGGACTAGTGAAGGCAGGATGAAGGGGGACTAGTGAAGGCAGGATGAAGGGGGACTAGTGAAGGCAGGATGAAGGGGGACTAGTGAAGGCAGGATGAAGGGGGACTAGTGAAGGCAGGATGAAGGGGGACTAGTGAAGGCAGGATGAAGGGGGACTAGTGAAGGCAGGATGAAGGGGGACTAGTGAAGGCAGGATGAAGGGGGACTAGTGAAGGCAGGATGAAGGGGGACTAGTGAAGGCAGGATGAAGGGGGACTAGTGAAGGCAGGATGAAGGGGGACTAGTGAAGGCAGGATGAAGGGGGACTAGTGAAGGCAGGATGAAGGGGGACTAGTGAAGGCAGGATGAAGGGGGACTAGTGAAGGCAGGATGAAGGGGGACTAGTGAAGGCAGGATGAAGGGGGACTAGTGAAGGCAGGATGAAGGGGGACTAGTGAAGGCAGGATGAAGGGGGACTAGTGAAGGCAGGATGAAGGGGGACTAGTGAAGGCAGGATGAAGGGGGACTAGTGAAGGCAGGATGAAGGGGGACTAGTGAAGGCAGGATGAAGGGGGACTAGTGAAGGCAGGATGAAGGGGGACTAGTGAAGGCAGGATGAAGGGGGACTAGTGAAGGCAGGATGAAGGGGGACTAGTGAAGGCAGGATGAAGGGGGACTAGTGAAGGCAGGATGAAGGGGGACTAGTGAAGGCAGGATGAAGGGGGACTAGTGAAGGCAGGATGAAGGGGGACTAGTGAAGGCAGGATGAAGGGGGACTAGTGAAGGCAGGATGAAGGGGGACTAGTGAAGGCAGGATGAAGGGGGACTAGTGAAGGCAGGATGAAGGGGGACTAGTGAAGGCAGGATGAAGGGGGACTAGTGAAGGCAGGATGAAGGGGGACTAGTGAAGGCAGGATGAAGGGGGACTAGTGAAGGCAGGATGAAGGGGGACTAGTGAAGGCAGGATGAAGGGGGACTAGTGAAGGCAGGATGAAGGGGGACTAGTGAAGGCAGGATGAAGGGGGACTAGTGAAGGCAGGATGAAGGGGGACTAGTGAAGGCAGGATGAAGGGGGACTAGTGAAGGCAGGATGAAGGGGGACTAGTGAAGGCAGGATGAAGGGGGACTAGTGAAGGCAGGATGAAGGGGGACTAGTGAAGGCAGGATGAAGGGGGACTAGTGAAGGCAGGATGAAGGGGGACTAGTGAAGGCAGGATGAAGGGGGACTAGTGAAGGCAGGATGAAGGGGGACTAGTGAAGGCAGGATGAAGGGGGACTAGTGAAGGCAGGATGAAGGGGGACTAGTGAAGGCAGGATGAAGGGGGACTAGTGAAGGCAGGATGAAGGGGGACTAGTGAAGGCAGGATGAAGGGGGACTAGTGAAGGCAGGATTAAGGGGGACTAGTGAAGGCAGGATTAAGGGGGACTAGTGAAGGCAGGATTAAGGGGGACTAGTGAAGGCAGGATTAAGGGGGACTAGTGAAGGCAGGATTAAGGGGGACTAGTGAAGGCAGGATGAAGGGGGACTAGTGAAGGCAGGATGAAGGGGGACTAGTGAAGGCAGGATGAAGGGGGACTAGTGAAGGCAGGATGAAGGGGGACTAGTGAAGGCAGGATGAAGGGGGACTAGTGAAGGCAGGATGAAGGGGGACTAGTGAAGGCAGGATGAAGGGGGACTAGTGAAGGCAGGATGAAGGGGGACTAGTGAAGGCAGGATGAAGGGGGACTAGTGAAGGCAGGATGAAGGGGGACTAGTGAAGGCAGGATGAAGGGGGACTAGTGAAGGCAGGATGAAGGGGGACTAGTGAAGGCAGGATGAAGGGGGACTAGTGAAGGCAGGATGAAGGGGGACTAGTGAAGGCAGGATGAAGGGGGACTAGTGAAGGCAGGATAAGGGGGACTAGTGAAGGCAGGATGAAGGGGGACTAGTGAAGGCAGGATGAAGGGGGACTAGTGAAGGCAGGATGAAGGGGGACTAGTGAAGGCAGGATGAAGGGGGACTAGTGAAGGCAGGATGAAGGGGGACTAGTGAAGGCAGGATGAAGGGGGACTAGTGAAGGCAGGATTAAGGGGGACTAGTGAAGGCAGGATGAAGGGGGACTAGTGAAGGCAGGATGAAGGGGGACTAGTGAAGGCAGGATGAAGGGGGACTAGTGAAGGCAGGATTAAGGGGGACTAGTGAAGGCAGGATTAAGGGGGACTAGTGAAGGCAGGATTAAGGGGGACTAGTGAAGGCAGGATTAAGGGGGACTAGTGAAGGCAGGATGAAGGGGGACTAGTGAAGGCAGGATGAAGGGGGACTAGTGAAGGCAGGATGAAGGGGGACTAGTGAAGGCAGGATGAAGGGGGACTAGTGAAGGCAGGATGAAGGGGGACTAGTGAAGGCAGGATGAAGGGGGACTAGTGAAGGCAGGATGAAGGGGGACTAGTGAAGGCAGGATGAAGGGGGACTAGTGAAGGCAGGATGAAGGGGGACTAGTGAAGGCAGGATGAAGGGGGACTAGTGAAGGCAGGATGAAGGGGGACTAGTGAAGGCAGGATGAAGGGGGACTAGTGAAGGCAGGATGAAGGGGGACTAGTGAAGGCAGGATGAAGGGGGACTAGTGAAGGCAGGATGAAGGGGGACTAGTGAAGGCAGGATGAAGGGGGACTAGTGAAGGCAGGATGAAGGGGGACTAGTGAAGGCAGGATGAAGGGGGACTAGTGAAGGCAGGATGAAGGGGGACTAGTGAAGGCAGGATGAAGGGGGACTAGTGAAGGCAGGATGAAGGGGGACTAGTGAAGGCAGGATGAAGGGGGACTAGTGAAGGCAGGATGAAGGGGGACTAGTGAAGGCAGGATGAAGGGGGACTAGTGAAGGCAGGATGAAGGGGGACTAGTGAAGGCAGGATGAAGGGGGACTAGTGAAGGCAGGATTAAGGGGGACTAGTGAAGGCAGGATTAAGGGGGACTAGTGAAGGCAGGATGAAGGGGGACTAGTGAAGGCAGGATGAAGGGGGACTAGTGAAGGCAGGATTAAGGGGGACTAGTGAAGGCAGGATTAAGGGGGACTAGTGAAGGCAGGATTAAGGGGGACTAGTGAAGGCAGGATTAAGGGGGACTAGTGAAGGCAGGATTAAGGGGGACTAGTGAAGGCAGGATGAAGGGGGACTAGTGAAGGCAGGATGAAGGGGGACTAGTGAAGGCAGGATGAAGGGGGACTAGTGAAGGCAGGATGAAGGGGGACTAGTGAAGGCAGGATGAAGGGGGACTAGTGAAGGCAGGATGAAGGGGGACTAGTGAAGGCAGGATGAAGGGGGACTAGTGAAGGCAGGATGAAGGGGGACTAGTGAAGGCAGGATGAAGGGGGACTAGTGAAGGCAGGATGAAGGGGGACTAGTGAAGGCAGGATGAAGGGGGACTAGTGAAGGCAGGATGAAGGGGGACTAGTGAAGGCAGGATGAAGGGGGACTAGTGAAGGCAGGATGAAGGGGGACTAGTGAAGGCAGGATGAAGGGGGACTAGTGAAGGCAGGATTAAGGGGGACTAGTGAAGGCAGGATGAAGGGGGACTAGTGAAGGCAGGATGAAGGGGGACTAGTGAAGGCAGGATGAAGGGGGACTAGTGAAGGCAGGATGAAGGGGGACTAGTGAAGGCAGGATGAAGGGGGACTAGTGAAGGCAGGATGAAGGGGGACTAGTGAAGGCAGGATGAAGGGGGACTAGTGAAGGCAGGATTAAGGGGGACTAGTGAAGGCAGGATGAAGGGGGACTAGTGAAGGCAGGATGAAGGGGGACTAGTGAAGGCAGGATGAAGGGGGACTAGTGAAGGCAGGATTAAGGGGGACTAGTGAAGGCAGGATTAAGGGGGACTAGTGAAGGCAGGATTAAGGGGGACTAGTGAAGGCAGGATTAAGGGGGACTAGTGAAGGCAGGATTAAGGGGGACTAGTGAAGGCAGGATGAAGGGGGACTAGTGAAGGCAGGATGAAGGGGGACTAGTGAAGGCAGGATGAAGGGGGACTAGTGAAGGCAGGATGAAGGGGGACTAGTGAAGGCAGGATGAAGGGGGACTAGTGAAGGCAGGATGAAGGGGGACTAGTGAAGGCAGGATGAAGGGGGACTAGTGAAGGCAGGATGAAGGGGGACTAGTGAAGGCAGGAAACTGAGAATCGCGGGGGACGAGGGAGGGAGGGAGGGAGGGAGGGAGGGAGGGAGGGAGGAAGGAGAAAGGGGGGGTGGGGAATCTGGTAAAATTTTGTGACATGAGAAGAACAAGAGACGCACTGGAGCAACACTATTAGAGCCTAACCACCAAGGTGTCCAGCAAAAAAACAAATAAATAGATAAATAACGAGCGTGAGAGAGCAGTGGGGTGGCTCAAAAGGGGAAGGAGGGAAGCGTGGGAGGGGAGGTGCCCAACGTGACTCTGTAGATATAAAGTGAGTCCGTGCGTGTGACTTAGGTGCAGGTGACTGTATCAAAAAAGGAGAATCTCACCAGGGGGGAAGTGTCGAGGGTGACTTGGAACTGAGTGAGTGTGACTACAGCGAAACCAGCAAACAGCGCTGCGAGGTTTGAGATCGCCTTGAGCTGCTCCGACTTCTCCTCCACATCTCGCCGATTCTTTTCAACAAATCTGCCAAGGGAAGGGAAGATGGTGAAGGCGCAGCAAGAGAAAGGGATGGGCACAGGAGGGACAGGGAGGGTTTGAGATCGCCTTAAGCTGCTCCGACTTCTCCTCCACTTCTCGCCGATTCTTCTCCACAAATCTGCCAAGGGAGTGGTGTGGGTCCTTTCACACCACTCCGATGAGGGGAGTGAGTGGTGGTGGGGAATGAAGACATACAAGGGAGGATGAGGGAAAAAAAGGGAAGTGGGGATGGGAGAGATGGGTGGGAGCAAAGAACTCGCTTTTGAGTCGACTCAAGAGCAAAGAACTCGCTTTGAGCTGCTCCGGCTTCTCCTCCTCCACGTCCCGCCGGTTTTTCTCGACAGATCTGCCAAGGGAGGGAGGGTGCGGAAAGAGGGGTAAGGGGGAAGTTGAAACAGGCACAATCTGTTTCTTACAGGTTTTAACTGACCTTCCTGATTCCTGACTACAGTCTTCAACCAACCTGACACCTGAGATTGTACCTGAAACTACCTGAATTGTTTCCTGACTGCCACACCATACACGTGACTCTACACCTGGGGTTGCACCTGAATCTGCAGCAAGTGGTACCTGAATCTGCAGCAAGTGGTACCTGAATCTGCAGCACATGGTACTTACCTGGCCCAGAGGTATCTTGCATTGTCCACGTGGCGTTGGTTCATGTCTTCCTCCCTCCACCTGATGCCCGCAGCAATGCAACGGGTGCAGTGTACAGTGCTCAACACACATAGTACAGGATATGTACATACAGTAAAATTGCATGTACAGTACATAGCGTACCAGAATCATAAATGCAAAGGGCAAACGGATATCGCAGGTGACACACATGGGGATGGTGACAGTGAGTGAATGAATGAGAGAGTGAGTGAATGAATGAGAGTGAGTGAGTGAGTGAGTGAGTGCGAGAGAGAGAGTCAGTGAGTGAGTGAGGGTAAGACTTTGTTTGTCAGAGAGTGAGTGGCGTTTGAGGCAGCTCACAAGCTTATTCGATTTTGATTCCCTTTATCAATCCCTCTACCCCTCGTCCTCCCCTTGCCGTCCTCTCTTCCCCCCGTCCTCCCCCCCTCTCTCCCCCTTCCCACTTCCCCCCTCCCCCTCTTCCTCCCACCTGATCTCCGCGCTCCGCATTTCCGCTTCTTCCCCGAACCATCTCCGCTCCTCCTCGCGGAACGCCAGGTCGTCCGCGCGCCACTCGCGGTCCTCCGCGCGCCACCGCCGGTCCTCGTCGCGCCACTGCCGCGACAGCGACGTGTCGAACGCCGCCAGCACCGCCTGCGCCGCCTCCATCGTGCTCGCCATCGCTACGACTGCCCCGCACGCTTAGCTAAGTGAGGCTGTTCAGCGCGTTTAACTAAGTACGGCTTTATGCATACGAATACTGGAATAACTCTGCTGATGCCATCGTCGTGTCCTGACTCCTGAACCTAACACAGAACTGGGACGCGTCTGGGACTCCAGGGCCCCTGCAGTAAATGGATACCTTAGGCGGCGTCAGATGCGGAGTATTGTGGGAAAGCGTTGTCTCGCAGGAGCAGAACGACAGCTCGCATCGGTGTAAGGTTGCTGTTCGCAGCGCGGATTTGAATTCGACCGTTATGAAGTGAGCTGAAATGCACTCAAGTCAGAATTTACAGAATACTACTGAAGAATGAATAACGAGGTTAAATTGGCAGAGTCGAGCTAGCCGAGGGCTTCGGGTTAGCGAGGCTCGGAAAGCTGGCGAAAGGTGTGGTGGCTCGGATGTGGTTCGGTCCGAAAACGTAGGCCGAACCAGCTGACTCGAAAACCTAGGAAAGCTCCTAGGTGAAGGTTCCTCACATGTGCAACCAACAAGTCAGAAGCTACAGAATACTACTGGGGAATGGATAACGAGGCTATGTAGGTAGAATCAAGCTAGGCGAGAACCTCGGGGTGACGAGGCTCGGAAGGCTGGCAAAAAGTGAGGTGGCGATTCGGAGGTGGTTCGGGGCGAAAATGTAGGCCGAACCAGTTGACACGAGAGTCTCGGAATGTACCGGCTAAACTGTAGAGTGAGGATAACATGTGTCGATAAATCATAAAACACATTAAAAGAACTGCAATGGTTTAGCTGCCAATGGGTATACAGGTAGGATGCTACGCTTGCAACGAGTTGCAACCGTATATTTCAGTGGTGTATCTGACAAATATTAATTAATATGAACCGTATATTACTTCGCAGTGTAGACAGGATGCCCTACCCATTTGCCCATTGCACTCTGTTTCCACAGCGTTACTACACCATCTGCTCCCACCGTCGCCAGGCTAGAGCCTAATAGGTCCCAGGAAACTTGGTGCACCTGTTGGGATAGACATGGGTTGGTTTACAAATGATTACAACACGGAAGGATGGTATAAATTGATCTAGGTGGGTCAAAGAACAGGTGGCTGTGTGGATCCAAAAGACCATGCATATTGAACACTAAAGCCAACATGTCTAAGTGCACACGGCACAACATAATAAATGGTACTACTGACATGCAACACAATGCTGAAGGTTTTACAATTGAACAGAAACTGAATCACTACTGCATCGCAGAATCACACTTGTCGGTGGTAGGAAAGACAAGTGCCTGAATGATACTTTTTGAAAATACTGAGAATATAACGATCTTGCCTGGGAGGTTCGGAGGTGGATTGACGTACCTGCGCAGAACTGGTGGACGCCAGCCGGGCCACTTGCCGAACCTGAACTGCAGCCTCGGAAGGCTTGGAGTGGTAACGCCCTGCCTCGGCACCATCCCCCATACCCATGGCATCTTGGGCTTCATAAGGCTCGGTAAACTGCTGCGCCGAGCCAGGCTGGTTCAGATAGTCTATCCGAACCAGATTCACGGTGGACGAAGCAGCTACAGCAACAACATCGAAAGGCCTGGTTGATATATCAAATTGGAAATGGGAAATGGTGGAAGAGGGAGGAGGAAGATTGAGAGTGAGCAAGGGTGGGGGAAGAGTGAGAAAGGCACTGCATGCATAGTGATACACAGACCGGCACGCTGTAACAACAAAAGGCTTCTTTGGTGGTGGACGGGTGGTGGGGGGAGGAGCACAGAACAGAAGCAGAACAAGTGAGCCCGTGCATGTGTTTGTATGGGAGCGACCTCCCCTCTCCTAGCACTGCACTGCACTGCACTGCACCGCACTGTACTGTACTGTACTGCCCTGCGCTGCACTGCACTGCACTGCACTGCACTGCACTGCACCGCACCGCACCATACTGCACTGTACTGCCTTGCGCTGCTCTGCGCTGCGCTGCACTGCACTGTACCACACTGCACTGGACCGCACTGCACCGCACTACACCGCACTGCACCGCGCTGCGCAGCACTGCACTACACTCATACAAGGCAAGGAGAGTCATGCCTGTCTAGGGTGGGCGCCCAAGCGATGCTCGTGACAGGTGGCGGCGGTAGATTGGCCGCTGTGGTCGCAGAAATGTTGTTAGGTAGCAGGTCTGCTATGGCATGCCAGTGCATGTAGCGGTCACTGCGCACCCATACCTGTGTGTGCATGGATGGATGGACAAGAAAGAGAGTGAGAGGGAGTGACAAGGTGTGACTGGAGTGGGAGGGAGGGAGGGAGTGAGATGAGGAGGCAGACACGAATGACGATGACACTGAACAGAGACGTAACCAGCAAGGCAGTCCAAAGGGCAGTCCAAAGGGCAGGGCTCACAAATATGTTTGACAGGGGGCAAGCATTGGCAGCACCAACAATGGATGTGATGTGCTGCCTTCTCTTCCTCCCTCCCTCGAATCTTCCCCCATCTCACTCGTTTCCCTTTCCTTCCCCCACTCCTGTGTTTCCCTCGTCTCACGCACTCGTTTTCCCAGACCGTGTTTCTAGTACCACACGCATCTATTTTCGATGCGCCTCGAAAACAGACGTTTTATCCAGACCCATCCTCATTTCACACCCGCCTTAGCAGTGTTGCTGTCACCCTTGCTGCTGCCTGCTGCTGCACACGTGGCAATAGCAACAGCTGGCGATTGGCCAATTGCACGCGTGGATGGATGGACGGCTATGATCGCACGCGACAGCAGCTCCTTGCCCATGCTGACGTCAGCGTATGGAAACAGTGCCACGTCAGCCTGAACAGGTTCGGAAAGGTAAACATTTTTGAAAAAAAAAAAGGGAACGCCATGCATTGCACACATTTTTTTCTTCTTCTTCTTCTTTTCAAACAGCTGGGCTTGTGTCACGATACGACAAAGAATACAGAGAAGCAGAAACGGCTGAAGGGGTATGGAAGGGCAGAACATAGAAATGCAAAAAGAGAAGGGATAAGGATGAAGATAAAGAGGCGGATTGGTGAGAGAGGAAGGAGGGAGGCGGGAAAGAGGAGGAAGTGAGGAAGACAAGGGGGAGATGGGGAGGGGGAGATAGGGAGGGGGAGATGGGGAGGGGGAGATGGGGATGGGGATATGGGGAGGGGGAGATGGGGAGGGGGAGATGGGGACAGGGAAAGCGACGAAGGGAGATGGATGGACGGATGGATGTACCTCAAGCGACCAATGAGAGAGGGTGAGGCAGTCGTTGCAGCGATGCACCACCATTCTCCCCTCCGATGTCACTGCCACCTGCCACCACCAGCAGCAGCGGCAGGAGCAGCAGCAGCAGCAGCAGCAGCAGCAGCAGCAGCAGCAGCAGCAGCAGCAGCAGCAGCAGCAGCAGCAGCAGCAGCAGCAGCAGCAGCAGCAGCAGCAGCAGCAGCAGCAGCAGCAGCAGCAGCAGCAGCAGCAGCAGACAAGGACTGTAAAGTCATTATTGAAAATTCTCAGACGGGCACTTGAGATCATGACACCAAATGGAGTGCCATCAGTCTCACCAGCAGCAGAGGGTTGGTGAAAGTGCTGCGCACAAACGCCAGAGAGAGGGATGGAGGGAGGGAGTACCTTATCATCCCCTCTCACACAGTCTTAGTCTAACTCACCAGCAGCAGAGGATCGGTGAAAGTGCTGCGCACAAATGCTAATGCCAACACAGAAGCAGCAGATGATGACGCAGTAACACCACCAGCACCAGCAGCAACAGCAGCAGCAGCAGCAGCCCCATCCAGTGCAGTCAGCAGCATGTTCCCCACATTCACCACTGCCACCTGCTTCCACCTGCTACCACCGCTCCCACTCTTGCTGCAACCAGCACCACCACTCTCAACCCTTCCGCCTGCTCCCGATTGGTCAGCCCCAGCCCCTCCTCCCCTTCCACCCCCTCCTCCTCCCATTTCAGTATCCTGCTCGCCTTCTCTATTCCTCTCCGCCCCATTCCGCTCTTCCCTGCCGCCCCCACTTCCCCCACTCCCCCCATCTCCTCCGCTCCCCCCATGGCCCTGTTCCGCCCATCCACCCCTTCCCCCGCGCCCTCAACCTCCCCCCAGATGTGCACGCGGCTGCTCCCCCTACACGCCACAGCCAGCTTTCCCCCGAACTCCTGTGGCGCCCACACCACGTGCGCTGCTGCTGCTGGGAAAAGTGGGTTATGGGGGAAGGGGAGAGGGGAGAGGGAGAGGGGAAGGGAGGGTCACGGGCACTGCTACAAATCTCCTTCATGCATTTCCCTTCACTTCTTTCGACCCAAATTCATTCGTTCCGCCTCCTCTTCCTCACTCCCCCCTTTTCTTCCCCTCCCCCTCCCCTCCTCCCCCCTCCCCCGTCCCCCACCCCCCTAGAATACGAATACTAACGAATCGGATTGAGCTCCACGTGCGCTGCTGCTGCTGCTGGGAAAAGTGGGTTATGGGGGAAGGGGAGAGGGGAGAGGGGAAGGGAGGGTCACGGGCACTGCTACAAATCTCGAGTTGACTTTTGAGTCGACTCAAAAGTCAACTCGAAAAGTAGGTTATGGGGGAAGGGGAGAGGGAGGGAGAGGGGAAGGGAGGGTCACGGGCACTGCTACAAATCTCGAGTTGACTTTTGAGTCGACTCAAAAGTCAACTCGAAAAGTAGGTTATGGGGGAAGGGGAGAGGGAGGGAGAGGGGAAGGGAGGGTCACGGGCACTGCTACAAATCTCGAGTTGACTTTTGAGTCGACTCAAAAGTCAACTCGAAAAGTAGGTTATGGGGGAAGGGGAGAGGGAGGGAGAGGGGAAGGGAGGGTCACGGGCACTGCTACAAATCTCGAGTTGACTTTTGAGTCGACTCAAAAGTCAACTCGAAAAGTAGGTTATGGGGGAAGGGGAGAGGGAGGGAGAGGGGAAGGGAGGGTCACGGGCACTGCTACAAATCTCGAGTTGACTTTTGAGTCGACTCAAAAGTCAACTCGAAAAGTAGGTTATGGGGGAAGGGGAGAGGGAGGGAGAGGGGAAGGGAGGGTCACGGGCACTGCTACAAATCTCCTTCATGCATTTCCCTTCACTTCTTTCGTCCCAAATTCATTCGTTCCGCCTCCTCTTCCTCACTCCCCCCTTTTCCCCCCCTCCCCCTTCCCTCCTCCCCCCTCCCTCTTCCCCCACCCCCCTAGAATACGAATACTAACGAATCGGATTGAGCTCCACCGATCCGCGCACCTTTTTTGTCCCCTCCGCCGCTTCCCCCCAGTGGCCAGCTCGCGGAGAGGCTCAGCGGCCCGCGCTCCGCGCCGTCGTCGCAGCGATCCCAGATCTGCAGCGCGCCGTCCGCCGTGCCGGCCGCCCATCGCGTTCGCGATCCGTTCCACGCGCTCGCGGTTGCCTCGCTGCCTGTACCCCGAATCAGCTGCCGAACCTGCATGTCAGGCACGGATCGATCGTTGAAGATATGAACGGTCACGAAACGACTCGCTGTGAAGCCACCGTGCGCCGTGAAGAAAGACGGGAATGATCCGTTATAATACACTTCGTCATTAAACTCGGCAACATGTCGTCAAAACCTTGTTCACATAAGGATCCATCCATGTCTATCCCGAAAATGATTCGCGAATAGCATGCAGAATTTGTCTAGCTCGTTGATCTTACCTGAGGCATTTTTTATTGACCAGGTAATTGACGCGACTTCAATGCCTGCAGGAATGAATAGTGGACGAAATGTCAAGAACCTTTGACACGTAATAAGGCGCGGCCCGGATTAGGCAATATCTTCATGCTCCACGTTCACCAATACGTGCTCTTCTTTGTTTGGTAAAGAACGGTTCTGGAGTTACGGATCATTGTGTTTGAATCTAAGGACGTGTCTCGCTTCGACAGGTCCGCGAGTCTGCCCCGGACTGGTCCGCCACTGAAATTATGCCTCCAGAAATACCCAGGACTGGTCCGACGGACCAGTGTGGACCAACTGAGCGAACCAGCTTCGAACTCATTCTTGTTGGGTCCGCAGATGCAATCTACAGTAGCGTGTTGGCGAGCTTAGCTGTACATTTTCCAGAAAAACTGGGTTACCAGGACGCAAGACTGTACAGTACATTTGCGCATGCTGCCAAGTTTTGCGACTGAGCGTGAGTTCGTGAGCGCTCGCCAATACAATGGCTGTTCAGGGGTCCAACGTGGACCAGCTCACCGAACCAGGAGATCCTCCCCATTATAGTCACTTTCGCCCGCTAAAACGAGGGTGCTGGTTTGCTACACCGACGGTTCACATTCGCTCAGGGAGCGGGTCCACGCTTGGGTCCGAAGTGGTTTGGTGGACTGGTCCCCATCGACCGCATAGAGCCAGGGTGGACCGAGGGATTTGAGACACCCTCTAAACGGGTAGGCTTTTGAGGGATGATTAAGAGTGCATTCCTATGGCGGGTCTGACATCAGGTCATCCGCCCTTAGGGTGCATTCCTGCACTTCGAGTCATCAGCACTTCGGGTCTTCCGAGGTTGTGGGATCCAATCGAAAATCGAAATGCACCCCAATCTCTTGATTCCGAACTTCCGATTGGATCCCACAATTTCGGATGACCCGAAGTGCTGATGACCCGAAGTGCAGGAATGCACCCTTAGTCTCTGATTTGTCTCTTCTCAATGTTGATTTGCCCCTATTTTGAACCACTTCGGGTCTTCCGAGCTTCTAAGGACGGATGACCTGATGTCTGACACGAGGTAGGAATGTACCATAAATTTCTAACTCGCCCTAGTTGTGGTCTTCTGATGCCCTCGGTTTCATTCGCATCGCGGGTTGGTTTTTGCCTTGTTTTACTTTGGGATTCTTTTTGGGTGACGCTTGAAATGGAGTTTCCCACACCGCAGATGCTGAACAGGTCCCTGGACATTCAGTACGAGGTTGATGGATAAGCGGTGTGGGTACTGTTTGTCTCAATACCTTAATCAACCGCTCCGTATTGTTCCTAAATCGGTGTAGAAAACCTAGCTCAAAGTCAGTCAAGAATGGTGTTCGCTACAGATTTTTGGGTTGCGTAGCAACCTTATACATTCGTTTTCACTTTTCGGTTGGCTGATGTGAACAGTGAATTTCTCTTATAAAATTTGAAAGAAATCACTGTTCACATAGCTTCCCCCCAAAAATGAAAACAAATGTTTCCAATCATTCCATAATCGTCGATAAGTACGGCGAATGGAACAATTGGAGAATCGTTCTAGCACTAAAGATGATACCCAAGACACACGAACACAAAGGACAACATAAAAAATACTACAGTACCAACGAGAAACACACATACACAAACGACCACAAGAACGATGGTATACAAGAACCGCCGTACATGTTTTGAAGGAAATACTAAATGCATCAATGCAACAACTGAGACTGATATGGTACGGAAGAGACAAGCATATCAACAAGACTAGGCAAGAATGATTGAAAGGAGAGAGGTTTCACTAGCAGCAGTTGGGGTACATATAGCAAACCCTAACTGGGTTGTACTCGCTATAGAGCACCCCACTACAGGCTAGACAATAACAACATTCTGACAAAGCAAAGCTGCCCCACCGACGATCACAATCCCAGTTGCATACACGAGACACTTAGCACCACACCCCCGAAACAAACACAAACGATAACGCATACGTAAATGATTACAAAAACAGAAGACAACGTTTAAGAATGTTTCAAAGCGAATGCTAAATGCATCAGTGCTGCAACTGAGATTGATATGGTACGGAAGAGGCTAGCAAAGCTGCCCCACCGACGATCACAATCCGAGTTGCATTCATGAGGCACTTAGCACCACACCCTGAAGCACGCACAACGCACGTATGCGCATGTACACACTCACACACATACAGGCTCACACATATACAGACACACAACGCAAAAACATACAGCTACTGTAATAAGCATGCAAGCATAATGAATGAATTTCAGCCTTGTATAAATTATCACCATCCTGTCCCCCATTCCCCTCCCTCCCTCCCTCCCTCCCTCCCTCCCTCCCTCCCTCCCTAATTTCCCTCATCTCCCTTCTCCCCATCCATATTCTCCGCAAGAAACAAAGGCTGCAGCTTGAACTCCCTGCACAGGAAAGAAAAATCAGCGAATGCAACTCACTCCCTGCACAAACAATAACAAAATCAGAGAATACAACTTGCATTAGTTGCACAAGAAAACAAAATCAGAGAATGCAGCTTCCTTGATGCACTAAACAACAAAGTAAGTGCAACAGAAATTCACGCGCAAACTCTCGCGCTCTCTAACGCGCTCCGTCATGCGCAAACTCGCGCGCTCTCTCGCACGCACTCTCCCACGCGCTCTTTTGCACACACTCTTGCGCACTCTATCTTGCACACTGTCACGCGCTTTCTCGCGCACTCTCTCGCGCACTCTCTCGCGCACTCTCTCGCGCACTCTCTCACACACTCTCACGCGCTCCCTCACGCGCTCTCTCACGCGCTCCCTCACGCGCCCCCTCACGTGCTCCCTGCAACGTGTTAGGCGCCAACGCGTATGGCGCCAGCGCGTTAGGTGACAGCGCGCATGGCGCCAGCGCGTTAGGCGCCAGCGCACACGGCACCAGCGCGTTAGGCGCCAACGCGCATGCCGCCAGCGCGCATGGCGCCAGCGCGTTAGGCGCCCACGCTCACGGCGCCAGCGCGTTAGGCGCCAGCGCGCATGGCGCCAGCGCGTTAGGCGCCAACGCCCATAGCGCCAGCGCGTTAGGCGCCAACGCGCACGGCGCCAGCGCGTTAGGCGCCAGCGCGCATGGCGCCAGCGCGTTAGGCGCCAACGCCCATAGCGCCAGCGCGTTAGGCGCCAGCGCACACGGCACTAGCGCGTTAGGCGCCAGCGCGCATGGCGCCAGCGCGTTAGGCGCCAACGCGCATGCCGCCAGCGCGCATGGCGCCAGCGCGTCAGGCGCCAACGCTCACGGCGCCAGCGCGCATGGCGCCAGCGCGTTAGGCGCCAACGCCCATAGCGCCAGCGCGTTAGGCGCCAGCGAACACGGCACCAGCGCGTTAGGCGCCAGCGCGCATGGCGCCAGCGCGTTAGGCGCCAACGCCCATAGCGCCAGCGCGTTAGGCGCCAGCGCACACGGCACTAGCGCGTTAGGCGCCAACGCGCATGCCGCCAGCGCGCATGGCGCCAGCGCGTTAGGCGCCAACGCTCACGGCGCCAGCGCGTTAGGCGCCAGCGCGCATGGCGCCAGCGCGTTAGGCGCCAACGCCCATAGCGCCAGCGCGTTAGGCGCCAGCGCACACGGCACCAGCGCGTTAGGCGCCAACGCGCATGGCGCCAACGCTCACGGCGCCAGCGCGTTAGGCGGCAGTGCGTTAGGCACCTATGCGATGCAGAAAGGCGCTAGCGCGCTGCCAGCACGGCGCCCACGTAGCAGCGCGCTGGCGGCTTGCACGCTAGGTGCCGGCGCGCTGCAGTAAGGCGCAAGCGCGTTGCCGCATCATGCGGCAGCGCGCTGACGCAGCAAGGCGCCGACACGCAAGCCACCAGCGCGCTGCTGCAGCAAGGCACCCGCGCGCAGCAAGGCGTCAGCACGCAAGCTGCGAGCGCGCTGTCACAGCAGGGGTTATATCACTAATGTACTCACGAACGTGCCGTTTATCACGGGGGCTTGTCACGGTCGCTTGTCACGGGCGTTTATCACGGGCGCCGGGCGTTTGTCACGGGCGTAAGGCGATTTCCTGGTGGCTAGTGCTTTCGAAGAGATGAGGTACAATCATGGCAAGAAAGTCTTCACCTGCTGGTCTTGTTTCTTGGGATGTGTTGGGGTTTGGTGCTGTTTGCACGTGTGAGCACGTGAAATTCAAGTGACTCAGCTCTAGAATACAGGATGACAAAAGCAAGAACGGAGACCCTGTTCCCTAACAATTCTAGAATCACTTATTACAGTACAAGTAATACATTTTAACACAGGACACAAGTAATTGGCTTAAATCAGTAATTATAATAATTACAATTAGTATATTAATATGTGTATAATATAATCCTGCTAAAGTTCAAAAGTTTTATTTGTCGTTAATCGTAACATACAGACCAAAATTCATCATAAATGGGAACAAACAATTGTAGATGGGGGAATAACACATGAACATTAGTCACTACTTTAGCCGGTGTCATGTCTATATCGAGTATTAAGCACATACGCAACCCATACGACGTTGAACGTCGAGTCTTGTTACTGTAACGAAGTGTTTACTTACAGTAACGGAACATATGAAATCACAAAACAAAACATTTCCCCTCGACCCAACTGGCCCATGGGGTGGAGATCAAGTCGTCGGGCCTGGCAAGCAATCTCCGATCGACGATCACGATATGCTTTTGCTAAAATCGACGATGCACACGAGTCTGCTTGTCACGGTTGCTGTTGATGATTTTGGCGGGCAAGCACCAGCAGAATGAAGACAAAATGAACCTCCGACCTGCCCGCTGCAAAACGTACTTTTACAGATGGTAACATTGTTCTCGTTCTTCGCAAAACCTCCAGCGTAATCAGTCGTCAAACCAAGTGCGATAATTCAGAGCACAAACCGTAGCCCGCGACATTACCGAACTATCGCTCACCTGCCTCGCGACACCCAACGGGTTTTATTCCAGGCCAAACGCATATCCCACCGCTGAACTTCATAGAG